CCGGATGTATTCGTCAATGGTACACGGCAGGCTACTTTCGTCCCTCGCCCGACCCTGCCGCTTCGTCGCCCATCGCCGCTACCCCCCAACTCCCGCCTCGTCTGCACGTCGCTTTCATCTTACTCCAAAATGGCTGTCGAGCGCACCGTCTGATCCCAGCGACTCCCGGAATTCACCTCCGGAAAGCGTCCCTCACGATATCCCTGCACTAAACTCGGAACATACCCCCTCCGAAGATGCTCCCTCGACCAGTCCGGTAACACCAACAGAACGAGTGGTGAAGAAGGATTCGGGTCCCTATGGGTCAGGTGTACGAAGGGCATTAAGGAACCGGAGACAAGGCAAAGACTTCATAGCTCCGGTAGCAACTGTGCCGCAATGGTTTCGTGAACGAAATACTGTTTTGCATGGTGTTGAAGGGCAGGCCGTTGCACAGTCCCGACAACAGGTTGAGATATGTCGGTTAGAAACGGAGGAAAAGAAAGCGAAAGCGCATGTCGAGTCCCAGGGAGGTGAGGGAGGCAACCCGCCGCCATCTGAGGCACAAAGCGACACAGGCCATCGGTATGTTCTAAGCGAAGCGCTATGGGAAGAACTATGCGCGTCTGCAAAAGCAGGCTTACGGCTTCCGCCTGCGAAATACGCGCAAGAACCTTCAGCTCAGAAATCGCACCTCGTCCTACAATACCCCGGTGCCGACGGCATCTTATTCTTGGATGCCGTGGTAAAGCGATTAGCCCAGGAGCTAAGCGCGGATGTCGTGACGCTGAATGCTCAGGACATTGCTCAGCTGTGCAGTGAGCAAGATATGGCGGACAGCGGTGCGACGTGCCCTATCAGGTCGCTAGGCTACGAGGTCTACCGGCCGTCTATTGCTGAATCGTGGCAGGATTTGGGAGACAACCTCAACGAGAGTGAAGCGGAGGACACCGACTTTATCGACACTCCGGTGCCGCCGCGGAATTTCCGACCCGGCTTGAAGGGAGCGAAATTTATCACGATCTCGAGTGCGAGTAATAACGGTGATATTCCATTGCCGAGTATACTTGGGCTCAAATCATTAATGACCTCATTCAATGGGCCTCTGGATGGCACAGCTGCGGCACAAAGCCCGAGTGATCGAGTCGAAGATAGGCGACTTCGACTTGTTCACGAGCTAATCAGCTCCCCCAGCAAGCGGTCCAAGCCAGTATCTGAGACAGAATCGCCGTCGGAGGCTCAGTCTGGCGCCGTTCGCGACGTCATCGTGCAGGTGCAGGACTATGGGGAAATCCAGGCGACACGTGAAGGTGCCAAGTTTATTACTCTTTTACAAAAAGCTATCATGGATCGGAGAAAGGCCGGTACTCGCGTTCTGTTCATTGGCACCTCGGCGCAGGAAGTAGGCCCCGATTCAGACTCGGCGAGGCTCATGCAAAATGCCTTTGACGACCATTTCTCACAAATGCTGGTCATTACACCGGGAATGGAGTCAAAAGTGGTGGAAAAGACGTTTGCAGAGGACCGCAAGAGGCGTACGCTGGACATCAACATTCGCCACATGCAGGATATGCTTCGTACCCGACTGGATGGGAGCGCCTCTGCAGTCAAGGACGCCATTTTCGAAAATCGTTCTTGGCCACTACCTCCGTCCGTAGTGAAAGAGTCCGGTTTGAATGAGCGCTACTGGCCTTACAGTCAGATCCACTGGGCGACGACACTTGCCCTTGGAAGCGTTGACCCCAACGAACCGTTAGGCTTTGAACACATCCAGCGTGGTATTGAGATGATGCACAAGACAGACCAAACCAAGAATGACTGGCTACGAGAGAGGACGCCAAAGTCTACGCTTGAGGCAGGTACCGACAGGGAGCGTTTGTTGAACTCTTTGCGTAAAACCTGCAACTCCCATGAGAAGAAGTTGCTGAATGGTGTTGTCGATGCCAACAATATCCGGACAACATTTGCCGATGTCCATGTCCCACCGGAGACTATCGACGCTTTGAAGACGCTGACTTCGCTGTCCCTCATCCGGCCTGAAGCTTTCACATATGGAGTCTTGGCTACGGACAAAATTCCGGGATTGTTGCTCTACGGCCCGCCAGGTACCGGTAAAACCCTGCTTGCAAAGGCCGTTGCTCGGGAGAGTGGTGCGACTGTTCTGGAGGTCAGCGGTTCCGAGGTGTATGATATGTATGTTGGTGAGGGCGAGAAGAACGTCAAGGCTATTTTCACTCTGGCGAAGAAGCTAAGCCCGTGTGTGGTCTTTATTGACGAGGCGGATGCCATTTTCTGTTCCCGGACGGGGGCCAGTAGTCGCACCTCGCATCGGGAGCTCATCAATCAGTTCCTTCGAGAGTGGGACGGCATGAACGACATGTCTGCGTTTATCATGGTTGCAACCAACCGGCCATTCGACCTCGATGATGCCGTCCTTCGACGTCTCCCAAGGCGACTTCTTGTGGACCTTCCGACGGAGCAGGATCGGTTGGCCATTTTGAAGATCCACCTCAAGGAGGAGACCCTCGATCCGTCGGTCGATCTAGCCGAACTGGCTCATCGAACTCCTCTTTATTCCGGCTCCGATCTTAAGAATCTCTGCGTTGCGGCCGCTCTGGCCTGCGTTCGAGAAGAGAATGACCTCGCGGCCAAACATCAGGGGCCCGAGCCGTACCAGTATCCGGCGCGTCGCATATTGACTCGTGCGCACTTTGAGCGGGGAATGGAAGAGATCAGCGCGTCAATCAGCGAAGACATGTCCTCGCTGTCGGCGATCAGGAAGTTCGACGAGCAGTACGGTGACCGGAAAGGCCGTCGCAAGAAGAGCGCCGGATGGGGATTCATGCCTCTTGGCACGGAGCAGGCTGAAACAGATGCTGCGCGTGTCCGGTCTTGAACATGTTCGATTTGGATCTGAATTCTTGGGTAATCTCGTCTGGATTAGGAGAAATACATGGTATGGGCTCGGGATTTATGTGACGACTTGTGTACTATTAGCGACATGGTATAGATAGATAGGACTTGTACTAGTATTCTGCCCTAAAAAAGAGTATATATTCATCAGAATCCTGTATGCTTTTTCTTTCCTAAATATCATATCAAACTGGCAGCGATACTGTATTAACTGCTGATCTGCTGGCGCCATCACGCACAGAGTTTGTTTTGTCGCCATGACATCGTTAATTTTCTCCTCTCCCGCCCCTTCAGTCGCCGCAACTCCGCCACACCAACACGCCTCTCCCACTCCAGGAACCCCTTGTCTTTAATTTCATGCTCTACGGGTTCCACGTGGGTCACAGCAAGGGGCCCGCTCGGACCCGTTTCTATATACCTTGTCAATCAACCCACACGACCCTCCGCAGCGCCGTCCCCCTCACCTACCCCTCTTCTCACACAAAGCCTCCTACCATGTCGACAGAGGCACGCGACGCAGCCATCCGAGAAGCAAAACGGCACGTCTTCGAAGTCGTCCGAAACGACTGGGCGTTTGAGCCCTCGTCGACCACTTCTGGCGCGCTGGCATCGGCCACGCCCGCAGCCCCCGAGCAACAATGGCTCGAATGGCGACTCCGCGAATACGATAGCTCCGGGTCCGAATTAGAGCCGCAGGATGAGCCAGAGAGCCCTGGAGAGCGAGACGGTGACTCGTCCGATTCGTCGCGGGTAGTGACAGCGCGGGAGCGTCGGCGCAAGCGGCGCAGACAGCTGGAGGAGGACGAGATGCGGTGGAATATCGGATTGCGGACGTGGGTTGAGAGGCGGGATGCGTGGACCGGGGCGCGAGCGAAGGAGGAGGTTTTGGCGACGGAGGAGCGAGAACGAGACCCTGCCGTGCATACTCCGGGGGAGACGCCGGCTACGGGTGCTGAGCGGGAGGGGACCGCTGACCTTGCTGCGCGGACAGGGTCATTGCTTGCGATCACTGAGAAGGAAGGGGAGCCGCAACAGGCGCAGGCAAATCAAGCTCTCGATGAAGCGGCCAAGGAATCGACGGAGACGGGCCTGGCCGTGCCAGGCGGGGAATCCTCGCATGATGAGTCTGTGTCTCCTCCGCCTCTTCCACCCCCTCGCGCCGGCGAAGTCCGCGACCCCCTCATACCTGTCGCCCCGTCCTTCATCCCCGTAAGCAACCCCGTGCGCGCTTCAATCACGCCTGCCATGTACCCGTCTATCTACTCCAAGGTGGTGGCGCAGGCGCTGACACCCACCGTACCCATCAACCTCGCCGACGTCGTCAAGGCCATGGTGCAAGGCTGGAAATCGGACGGCCAGTGGCCCCCCAAACCGACCTCCATCGTCCTGCCGGATGACTCTATCGTGCATAAGAACGGTGGCGCCACAGGCGACGCACAGGGATCTCACGAGTCCAAACGCCGATCGAGCGTCGTCGGCGCCGTGAAGAAGGTGTTCCATTTCTCCGGCTTCCACTCGAACCCGTTCCATCGCCGCGGCTCGAGTCATGGCAGCCACCCCGAGGCGCACGACGGGCCGTCGAAGGACGGCGGGCCCGCGGCGTCTGATCCTCCGGGTGCTGGGCATCCGAGCAAATGAGTTTGCAGTTAGCGTCTGCTGTGATGAACTTGACTTCCGATTTCATGTTCGGGTTGCATTGGACTGGTGCTTCGGACGGTCTTTGGCGAACAGGATGCATCTCTGGAGTGGCTTTGTGTTCTCTGTCTATGTTACGTTTTCTTCTTCTCTTCACTGTTATGAGTTATGTGACGATCAGAAATGGATGACTCAGTACTATATATGGCTCTCATGAAGAGCCATGATGGAAGGCCGTGTATACCCTCCGTAGCACGAACCAACTATACCAAACCACCTTGGTATTCGGACTCGATACTACCATAAACATAAACTAAAGCATGATCCAGTGCAATCAACTAGGCAACGTCTATTCCACGATCGTAAGCCCGCAGGCAGCATAATAACAATAACCCTATCCAACCCGCCATGCCATAAATCCCCAAGCACAACAGCATTCCTCCCTCCCAATCAACCACTCTACACATACCAATATGGCCACCATCTCAATCGAGATTATCTCAGACGTGATCTGCCCATGGGTAAGTCCACACACACCTTCCCACCTCCCACCCCAACCCATATATATATATGACCACTGAACTCAAAAGTGCTACATCGCCTCCCGCAACCTCCAAAAAGCAATCACGATCTACAAGAAGACCTACCCGGACGGCTCAAAGGACATCTTCACCATCACCTGGCACCCCTACTTCATCGACGAGGTTCCTCCCACCGAAAGTATCCTTGTGCAGGGTATGTCCATCCACCTCACTTCACCTCACCAACATATGCAAAGGACACAGATAGACACTGACTGTGTGAGTTATAGACCGCATGCTCCGCCGGATGACGCCGCAGCAGGTCTCCGCGGCGCAGACCCGTCTATTCCGCGTTGGCGCGGCAAGCGGCATACAGTTCCAGTTTGGGGGGTACATGGGTAGTTCGCGGCTTGCGCATCGGCTGCTGCATATCGTCAGAGAGAAGAAAGGGAGTGAGGTTCAGAATCGGCTTGCGGAGATGCTGTTTCATTATCAGTTTGAGCGGGAGGCGGATGTTAGTGAGGTGGAGGTTGTTGTTGAGGCGGGGGGACGGGTTGGGCTTGGGGAGGTGGAGGAGGTGAGGGAGTGGTTGGCGGGTGACGAGGGGGTCAAGGAGATTGAGGAGCAGGGGTTGGTTGGCGAGAGAAGCTGGGGTGAAGGGTGTGCCTCATATCATTGTTGGAGGACAGTATCATTTTGATGGAGCGTTGGATGTGTCCGAGTTCTTTGAGGCTGTTGTTCTGGCCAGGCAGAGTAGTTTGCTAGAATAGACTGATACTGGTTCCTTTTTTGAGGATCGACTTAAGAGTTTGAAAGTCATTATTTCATTCATTTAATGCGGTTGTCATCTCTAATCTATATAGGGCATAAAAAGATCCCAGTTCAACGCCTTCCACCACGGAGTATATACTACATGGCTCACGAGCAGCGCTGGTTAATCCGCCTCATCAAATAAATCAACGGCCCTCACAGTATCCAAAAAGGTCTGGACAGCCTGGTCAAACGCTGCCACTGGTGTGCGCTCAATCTCCGCCGCAACCGAAGGCTCAAGCTGGACTTCCTGTGGCTGGTGACCGCCACGCCGGGTGAAGTAGTACTTCCCCTGATGCTGCGACCAGCTGTCGGTGAGATAGGATTGCAGTTCATGCGTTGCCGCAGTGCGAAGATCATGGAAGAACGACGGGACAGCAGGGTTCGTAGTGTCGTCGTTATCGAAGGCCTTGAACGGTTGTACCCTGTCCAATACCTCGCTCGCCAGGGGCTGTTCACGAAGGGAGGACGCGACGAAAAGAACAAGTCCACGAAGAGCACCGATCTGTAAGACGGCACATCCTCCCACATCTGTCGCTCGATCTATGTAATCCACAACGGGGAGCGCAGAGGTAATCATTTCGACAAGACTAGTGAGTGTGGCAATCACGGTAGAGTCGGTAATCCTGCGGGGGGTTCCTGTGATATACCGAACGGCTTGGTAGGATGATCGGAAGACAGCACCAAGAATAGCTAAGACGGAGGACCGACACATTGCATCCGTGATATCCATGAAGAAGAGCAAGTCTTGGAAGACGAGAGACACCGTCTGTATAATCGGTCGAGTGAGGAGCCATGCAGCAGGATTGGTGAACGCGCACTCGATATAGGCGGAAAAGACGCATTGTAGGAGGATTGCACGCAAAGTAGGCTTATACGAGTCTCCAGTCTCGTAGATATCTGCCATGGACGTATGTAGCTGGTCAACCAGATATACTTGCTGCCCATCGATGGCTGCTCTCTCCGATACACCCTGGACAAACACGATCAAGGACTTCACTACCTTCTCAGAACAGAGCTTCGGCTCGTAGCTCTTGAGCCTGGCGACAATGTAGGTTGGATCCCCGGAAGGCAGTGGGAAAGATGTAGGATCAGTGAAGAACGAATCAATAGGGCAGATATCCCTGCTGTACTGTTGCAGGAACCCAACGATCCGATGAACAAAGTCAACGTATGCTCCTTGTGCGCTGGCTCCTCCATTGCCCAGCTCCTGGTAGTTTGCCTTCATGGATGCCATCATCCGCTGAATCAATTCTCTGTAGTCCCGCTTCGTACTTGACAGCTCCCGACTTTCTGTGTCTTCCAGATCCTGAACGTGTCCTCGCATATTCGAAAGTAGACTCGAGAGAAGTGACAGCCTTCGTTGACTGAGATCCTCCAACGATATCGAATACCGATCATTCTGCCGATCTTTCGAGAATGGCAAGTTGTGCAATAACGGGTCCGTGGTGTCGAGGTTTAATAGCGCCACCGTGAGACGATGCTGGAATTTGAGCATCGATACCCGCTCAACCAAGCTTGACAGCCACGTGCTCAGTATCAGAAGCCTACACTCAGACAGGCATTGTGGATCTCTCTCAATACAGCTTGCAAGGAAAAGGGGCGTAAACTTTCTTGTCTGCACAGTCGATCGAAGCGACGACCACGACTCTCCATCGTAATGACCGAGATAATTATCCCAATGTTTCAGCCCGTGCTTCACAAGAACTGAGGCAATGGAAGTCCAGCAATCAACAACATTCAGGAGTATTGCATCTTCAGGACAGTGATCCTCGCCAAAACAGTTCGACACAAGACGGGATACAGCTGGAAGGAAAACCGATTCTACGTGCTCAACACCTTTGCTTGCTGGAGGGCTTTCGTCCCCGTATATTGCTTCAATGTCTGTCCAGTCCCCATACTCCTGGCTGTCTTCGTCAACTGGAACTGTGGGAGCCTTCCCCGCCGGGACAGTGTTCGCGTTGCATTTCTGAAGGTAAGCAATGATTACCTGCAACGCCTCAGAAACTACAGCATTCACACGAGCAACCCTGGGATTGAAAAGGCCCAGAATTGCGCGAACAGGTGCTTTGGAAACAACGACTCGGGCATGCTCCAGCGTCGGAGCCGCACGAACAGCGTTCTGTAGGCCACCGAGAGCCACGGTCAGCAACGACTCGATTTGCCTTTGGTTCTGAGAAATTGTCTTTTCAACCTCATCATGAGAGAAGCTCTTTTCTATAGCGTTCTGAGCTTCGATTTCCTTCCGGGCGAGGGAGTGCTGTTTCAAGAACTCGTTGAGGAAATAACAATGCCAATCGGCAAATGGCTCAAGTCCAGATACTTCCTCATCGGTTGACAGCTTGAACCGCACGAGTCTGCTCCATGCCCGAATGCTGATGTTGCACGTTTCACGGTGGGAGATGGCAGGGTCAACAAGGGTCTTGATGATCTCCAGTCGGGGACGACACCCATCAGGGACAGCAAAGTAAAGAGTACACAGAAGATCATGATGGTTCCTCACGGCATCCAAGTCCGATTGAGAAATGGGCTTTTCCTTGGGATATCTTCCATCGTGATTCGGTAGCAGTCGCCAAGCGAAATTTCGGATCTGTTTCTTGTCACAGGACAATGGCAGAAATTGCAGCCCGGTTGCCAGAATCTTCAAAAAGATATGATAAGATGGGTCGCCTGATTGGACGTCGAAGGAAGGGTTGCGGTCGAGTTCATCGAGGAAAGAAGGAGACTTGTAGCTCTCCTCGAGCTTCAGATCATAGAGGTGCCGTTTCGCAAAGAAGTCATACAGGAGTTGCATTATAGACCTGCAATCTCGCCAGCCCCAACCATTGATCAGATGGTAGCATCTTCGGAAAAGAGCTCTGCAGTAATTGTTGCATGAGATTGGTTGCGTTTCAGCGTTGGTGTCGTAGTTATCGAGAACGGGTAAGAGCAATCGTTTCACCATCAGCCAGTTGTCATGGGCTTCCCGGAAGCGTGCTCCAATTCTGACCAGACCACAGGAATCAAATTCGTTGAGCGGCAACGTGGTGAACAAGCTTTGCCATCCATTCTCGAAACCATCGACATCTCTTGAGTTACTCGAATCCCCTCCAGCTGACAAGTAGGCTTCAGCAATCAACTCATCGAAGCACCGTTTGAGTTCATCCATGGACAACAACACATGTCGCACAATCACATAGGCCTCGATGGCAGATTGGTCCGCCTGGATGCCCGCTTCACGATTTGTAAGAGATTTGTTGTCCTGAAGAAACGTGCGCATCTGTATCTGTGCCGTTCGACTTGCAATGAAGCCCAGAACCCGTCTGGCAGCAAACTTGACCAAATCTGAGATCTCGTAGGCAATCTTCCCATCAACAAGAGCATGTCGAGCTACCTGAAACGTTTGACTCGCAAACACAAGATTGTAGGACGCAATCCGAGTGAGATAATCCCTCTGACGCTCATCACTCAACACCATTGCCGTAAGTTGCTCGTTCAGTTTTGCAATGAGACTCTGGCTTCGTTTGACAAATCCCATCCTATCGATTGGATCCTCAAACGCCAGGTGTTCTGTGACATACTGGACCAACGACCTGTACAATGCACAAACGTCGGGTGAGGCCGTTTCTTGACCAATGCCTGTTGCAATCTCAGAGGCGGCGTTCGTCTCTATCTCTTCAATCATGACATCGAAGACTTGGCCGAGTTCAGAAGAGACCGTGTCGTTCCATGAACCCCACCGGAAACACTGGTCTCCCAATTTGATGCGAGACAGATCAGTTTTCGCATCCATATTGCGCGATTCAACCTTGAGAGAGCGGGAGAACTGGCCACTCCCTATAAACGTAGTCTCATGGAAGAATGTGCCAGGGCAAAGAGGTGTGATGTCGAAGTCGACGGTGTAGGTGCGCCGAAAAGACTTTAGTCCGTTGCCATTGCTGATTGTAGGACGCGAGTTTTCCAGAACAACACCATCTGCCGGTATGATAGTGACAGAATCTCGAGTGTCAACCTCCTGACCATCGAGTGCAGCAAGGTCCAGTCGCCGCGGCGGTCGTTTCTTCAACTGACGTCGTCTATTATGACCTGGAGTTGTAGGCAACGCATCAGTGGCCGCGTTCGGGATTTCGGCAGGAACATCTGATTGAACCCCGGTTGGGAGAGAGGGTGTGAGACTGTTTGCAAGGTAACGATGAAGGGGTAAACTCCGATGTGTCGGGTGTTTGTGCCGGTAGTCTCGATTCAGCTGTGCAAGTGTTTTCTGGAAGAGCGAGGGTGAAGCAGAGTTCCTGCTAGCGTCTGTTATTTCGGGTTCCGCTGGGCGTGGGCCGTTTCTCTTCAGAGATGAAACGGCAAAGTTCCGACGGATGACCCATTTCCTACCTTGCTGCTCAGACGCAGGCTTCGGACGCGACGAAATGTCCTTTTCTGTGGTTGGTGCGATAGCTGGGACTTCTGGACGAGTCTCATCAGGAGCAACGTCGGTCAGATCAACTTGAGCGGCCCTCTTAGGACCTGGCAAGAAGCCTCTCTCCTTTGAATGAGGATTGTGATTGGCAACAACGGCTGATTGATTGACAGGGCGATCCAACAATGGCGGTCGCGCGTAAAGCTTGGTCTGTACTTGAGGCAATTGCGTCTGCCGGAGCTTTCCTTTCCGCCACTCGCCCAATGACTTGTTAGCATCTTCCGTGTCCAGTCGCGATCCCAGCTTGATGAACTTGCGGGATGGGCTTCTCCTGCCCATGTCTTTCCGGGAACGTGCTCTTCGCGCGGCCACCCTCAAGAATTGAGGCTGTTCTTCTCGAGGCCGATGAGCAACGTCTGGAGCGTCTAAAATGCCTAGTCTAGGGAGACGGCGCGGCGCATCCCTCTCCTTTCGGGCTCCATATTCAGGATCGGTAATTCTTGTCTGTCGCTTCAATCGTGGTCTTTTGGTGTGACTATGCGAGTGTGAGCTACCTGTTTCCGTCCTCTGGCGTTTCTTGCCCGGCTTTCGACTTCGTGGGTCTGTTGGTCCCCGAGGTATTGGCGGGAACATGTAGTCTATATGATCAGACTCAGGAATGTCATCTCCGGCAATATCGTCGTCAAACGGAAAGTCAAGCTCAAATAACTCGGCTAGCTTTTTGTGGGCATCGACTGCAGGCATGTCCTCCTCTGCTCCGGTACTCTCACCACTGTCATCATCCGCAAGATGACTTAACGATGCCAATGGCTCCCTAGCAGTTGAAGCCATCCTAGAATCATTCTTTTTCGTGATCTTCTTGGCAACGCCCTTGGCGTTTTCTGTTCGATGGGACGCCAGTCTATCACGCTGTCGCTGCGTGGAAGGGAGATTTTCCTGTCTCTGGTTCTTTTGGTCCAGTCGCAGCCAAGATGCCGGTAGCACACCTTTGATCTTCCGTTGTAAAGCCCTCACTGCGACTTGCTCATCGTCTTCCTCAGGTGCATCCTCGTCCACGTCGGAGTTTAGTTGGCTCTGATTAGTGGCTTCACCATCCACAGAAACCTGGTCATCAGCGCCGGCCAACCAGTCCGTCATGTCAGAATTAATAGCATTGCGTCCATTGACTCGAGGCTCCGTAACCGGCGTAGTCAAGGTCGGTGGCGTGAATCCAAGTGGGAAACGGAATCCCTCGGCGTGCTGACTGGTTTGCGTGGAGGAGAGGCTGCCTGAGCGTGGAGGACTTGGTATGTTGAAGACAGAGTTATTTTCAGGACGTGCAGGAGATTGGCAGATGACCACCTTTGGCTGGAGCGCATGTTTCAGAGAGCGTCGCTCAGCATCTTCAGGTCGGGATACCCTGCGCCGCTTTGAAGGACGAGCATCTGGTCTGTCCGCTAAATGGCCTTGTGAGTCTAAACGACCTCGCCGATGTAGAGAATCCTCGTGAACGTATCTGTCTGGCAGCGGAGGATCCATTGCTGGAGATGATGGCGGAAATTGGAAGTCTTCGATAGGACTGCTTGAAGGAGGCTCGAACTCCTTGCTTTGACTCTCGTCGGCTGTGTCATGTACAGCTTGATGGTGAGGTACCCGTACGGGTTTCAGGCCTCTGGCTTTCATGAGACTCCGGTACTTCGCATCTTCGAGCAGGTATGGGTGTAATTGGATAGGATTCCGCTGTCTCAATGACCTGCGCATGGGTTGTGACATCTCCTGTAGTATATGGTCCGGAATCTCAAAAGGCAGCAATGGCTCCTCTCGATTCTGGGGAGCTTGCGTTTCTGTGGCCTCTGTCCCCTTCTGCCCCTCTTGCCTACCTCGCAAACTGTCATCATCTTCACCCAGACGTATCGAATGAAGGTATGAGAGAGGAGAAGAAAGAGGAGAGATATTGTCATTCTCGTTCACCAGCTGCGTCTCAGCCTCATTGATAGTCGGTGAGTTCTTCTGGGGTTCGGGGTCCTTCCTCTTTGAAAAGTAAGTTATCCGTCTCCGGGACGGCTGCAAATCGAACTGTAACTCGTCTGGGGAGCTGGGAATGTCCCATATCCCGGCCTGCGGTTGGGTGCGAGGCGTTGATGGAGTGCTGGGATTCGTGGCGGTCACACCACTTGAACTCGACGAAGAATCCGCCGCCTTTCTCGCAGCAGGCATACTCCGATCCACCATCGTGGAGTCTTCCTCTGCCTTTTCAACGGTGGGCGTGCTTTCTTCGGTATCCTTCGAGCCCAATACCACATTCTGAGCTTCGTCGGTACCATCGTCACCTGCCCCATCCCGTTCTCCCTCGTTTGCCTCCTCGTGTGCCGCCGGCGCCGTAAGCTTCGCATTGGGCGTAACAACCTCTTCCGTCCCTCCATCACCATCCTCAACCCTCCCATTCACCACCTTTGACTCCTGACTGTCAAAGTCAACCTCCGAGTCCGAGTCCGGTACAAACCCTCGTTCCCGCCATGATTCCATTTGTGACTTTGGCGCTGCTTGCCCATTTCCCTATTTGTCCATGCTTCGTCCGCGGCTGCGAAATTCGTCCAAAATTCCCGCGACCGACACAGATGGGAACCGACCACGAGATTTCAAGTGCGTAAAGGTCAAGGCCAATCGTATATGTCGGATTGATGATTTGGGGTCGAACAAAGTTGTCCGTTGATTGGACGCGTCGAAAATGCGCGGAGACGCGTTGTTGCCAAAAGGCGGAAATCGTAAGTGGATTAATGGTATGGAGCAGTTCCGCAGTGGGAGCCTAGGAGCCTGGAACCGCTGGCCGTTAAAAGTGCCAATTAAGTACAGAGTACCTCTCTAGGCCTAAGTCGATCTGCCCGCTCTGCACGTTTCTTGTGTCGGCGTTTCTACGGATATAGATGATCTGTCATAATTTGTTCATCTTATTCTGACTACGATAACGAGTCTGTTCGTCTACCTGCAGCAGCTTGCGCCATCACCGTCAGAAATATGAGTCGCAACTTCATCCCCGCCGCATTAGCCATCGGCATGGGCATATTGACCGGTATGATCCTGCGACCTTCGACTTGCTGAACCGACAAACTTACAGTTGGATCTTCCCTCCCAGGCTACTATACCTTCCAGCCCGCACTACAAGAACTCCAAATCGAGAAGCGCAAGCCCCAATCGTATGTCTCGCTCTTCCACGCCCTGCGACGAGCCGCCGCGCATTGCATTTAGAAATGAGTTAGCCGTATGCTGATGGACATACGCATGACCAGTGGACAAGCAGATCAATCGGGGGATAGTCAAATGAAGCCTCAGACTCCCGCGTCAAGCTCGGAGACCAAGCCGTCGAACCAGCAGACCAGGTAGCGCTGAGCGAGAAACCGGATGAAGGCGGAATTGAAGAGAATGTTCCTGCAGGAGCAGGGAGTTCGAACCGGGTCCACAGTGCTGAAGCAAGTTGGAGCGAGGTGGTGCAAGACATCTCTGCCTGGAGACAGAGCTTCAGAGCGCGCTCTCGAGGGACCTAGCGCTGCGCCATTGCGGGACTAGGGAGCTACCTGTTTGATGGAGTAGAGCTCGTCCTCAACCGGGTTCTGCCAGCGGTGTCGCATCGGCGTCAACTGGTGTCGACGGATTTGCTTTCCAGCTTAATGGCTCAAACCGATTGGCACGGATGGCAGTCGCTAATGCTTCCCAGCTGAACAGTATGCTTCGTGCATCGGCACATGGACAGACGTTCCATTGTATTATATAACTAGTAGCTACTGTGCTGTATACAGCTCGTTCAGCCCATCTGCAAATGTATATTAGCGCATTTCTACGCTCTTTTTCTCTCTGAAAGACCAATCGAGTAGGGTATGATACACACTTGACAGAAGGTAAAATACATGAACGACAGCAATTTAAGAATCATTGGCCCTTCCCAGTTCCGGTAAGAAGAATATCGTCAGACAAGATCAATGCCGCCCTAAAACGCCCAGCTCCATTCCCCTGCACCCTCGTACCGAGAATCAAACTTCCTCCACAAGCTTTGATGGCCGGCTAGGCGCTTCCCCAAAGACGCGGCCTGCAGGAGTTCCGAGCCATTCTTCAGGCACACCGATACGACTGCCCTTGCGGCCACTCACCCATCTGACCATCGTCGGCTGTGGTTTCTCTGCTTCTTCTGCCTCTTGCTCGGCGGCGTTGGCTTCCGCTTCAGCAACTGGAATCCGACCACGCCGTTTTGGAGCCTGCTTGCGTAACAACCTATTGATCGTGTCCATCTGTGCTTATGCGTTAGCGATGTGATACAGCGAGCAGATAGCGGAATTTCGAGACCGAGAAGGGCTGCTTCACCGGCCCAACTTACCTTTTCTTCCTCGTTCCGCTTCTCGCTGAGATTCTTTCTTCTTCGAGCCATTTCAGCACGACGCATAGCACGTTCCTCTGCCGTTAGGTGCTTCTTCACTTGAGGTTCTGTTTCTTGGTCAGCAGCGACACTTCACTCGAAACACTTACAGTAGGGAAACTCACCCATGGGGAGCTGCAAAAAGTCATTGCCGAGGGTTCCTCTCTGCCGCTTGGTTAACCGGCTAAGGTCGCCTCCGGGTGTGACCTCTTCACTATCCTCGTCCTCCTCGTCTTCTTCATCCTCTTCATCCAGGTCCTCGTCTCCTCCATTTCCATTGCCAAGCCCACTCTCGTCCTGGTCATCAGGCTCACCTTCGGCATCCGTCTCCAGCTCCGATAGCTCCTCGTCATCTTCGTCGTCTTCCTCCTCCAGTTCCATCTCCTTCTCCTCCACGCTCTTCACAGCCTTGCCTGTTGACGTGGCAGCACCCTTGGCGTGTCTTTTTGAAGTTGGTGGTCGGGGTGGCGCATCATCCAGCTCCAAATCGCCATCCGCATCGACATCATCCTCGCCAGGCGCATCCTCGTCAACTTCATCCTCCTCTTGGTCTTCTAAATCGTCCCCCTCACTTGTGCTGACCTCTACGAGCTTCTTCTTGGGCCGGCTAGACCGGGGTCCCGTGATGATGGGATTCTCGGTGAAGACATTGTGGGAGCGTCTGGTTGAAGTGCTACCCCGTGTGCTACTCCCAGTAGCTTCGCGGAGCTTGCTCGAAGGCATCCTTACTGTCAGAAAAAGAGATCTGACGGGGTTCTCTGCGCTGCCTGAAACAGATCGAGTGACTGTTACTAGTGGGGCAGATGGGACAGCACGTGTCGATCTGGTAGGCTTTGGACTCATGTCAGAATCAATACTTGATGGTTCATCCCGCGCTGGACGAGAGCGAAGAGAGCGACGTATAGACATGGCCAAGGAAAACAAGGAAGACTTTTCTGAAATTATGTTATGGGAAACAGGAATGAGGGGTAGGAGGACGAAGAAGAGAAGATCGTTGTAGTGATAAATCCAACGATGCGATGCGATTTAAGCAACAACTGAAGACAGTTTAAGAGAGTTGATGGGAAGGAGCTTGCAACGTGAATGCGTTGACGATGCCTGACTATGAAGATTCTAGCAGGGGAAGCGGGGATGCGAGTGAATGGGAGATAATATCCACAAGTCGATGGATGAGCTCAAGACGATGGTCATCGAGCAAACATCCATTCATAGGATGATGGATACGTGGGCCATTGTAGATAGTTGAGTGTAGGTAGGGCCATGCATTCCGGGTAGACGCAGGCAAGCAACGCCTATCACACATTTGACGCCAGTTAAAAGTCGCAAGCCGGCATCAAGGATGGGGACCAATTAGGGCGTTGCGATCTAGGATGGGATGGAGGACGCCCGTGCAAAAGCGACAAGCGACTAAGACAACGAACCCCATCACAGACGCAGTGAATTCAACGCTTGTGCGTTCGTTTCTCTCCGCCACACCCACATACCAGGGGTGTATAATCCTTGTAGTGACCATGGCAAGGCTTCCCGAAAAACTGAAACAATCAAGAATCGAAAACCACACCAATGACAAGTGACAGGGTTATTGTGCAGGAGGGACAGGAAATAAGAGCAATACGAAAGGACGGATACTCACTCGACCAGAAGGAACTAATAGATGGTTCGTTGATAGAGGAATGGACCGGGAAGGGTCCAGGATGATCTTGACGGCAATCCCCTTGTATATCTCAGGTACATATATATAGAGGTCGGACAAAGAGCACTTGTCACTGATAAAATAGAGGGATGTGTATGCTCTTTTACAAGTGCAGCATTCTTAATGGATGATATCAAGAGTGCTCTGTACTCCGTATGTCCATTTGATTTATTCCTCATCCTCACCATTCTGCCGCTCAGCGGTGTGTGTTCTTGGCAGGTGTTTCTTATATCAACGAGATAACTCTCTTAACCAGAACAACCACTTGGAAATACTTCTGAAATTACATACCGAGGGTTCTTCGAATACTCTCAGGCCAAGAATACATGATGATGATGATATTCTCTTGATATCACTCATACCAGTCTATCAACATGAAGAGCCCAAGAATAATGCACCTCTAAATGATCAGGTGATCTGTAGTACGTAAAGAGAAATACATTACATTACCATACAGCCGAGGTCTGGGGAAATCGACCCCATCTCCATCGCTCACATGGAGTTCTATGTCCATCTCTCCTCCTTATCTCCTCTGTCACTCAACGTTCTTCTTGGAGTCGATATTTTCCCCGTCTTGTAGAGCGCAACATGTCGGATATCAAGTCCAAAACCCCTTCCATCCCTCAATGGCAGCAACCTGCCGCTGCCAGTACCAATGCCAACTCCGCCAACTCCACACCATCGCCGAGCTCCGATGAGACTCCCCGTTCAGCGCTCATAGAGCAAGCTAGAAAGTTCTTGCAGGATGACTCCCTACGCGATGCGCCCATTGACCGCAAGATAGCTTTTCTAGAGTCCAAGGGCCTCCGAAGCGAGGAAATAGACAGTCTCCTGTCCATCTCGCGAGATGAGGACGCAAGCAGCAGCACCGCGGAGGGGAACAAGGCCACCCGGGATTCTACAACCTCTTCCACCAGCAACGAGTCGCAAAGTCCCAAAGAATCATCTTCTTCATCACCAACATCCTCCGCAGCTTCATCTACCACACCCGCTGCTGCAACCGCGACGAAGAACTCCGCACCACGCGATGTCCCACCCATCATCACTTACCCCGAATTCCTCATTCAGCAATCCAAACCCCCACCACTGGTAACCCTCCGCAGCATTCTCTACACCCTCTACGGCGCCGCCGGCCTAGGAGCAAGCCTCTACGGCGCAAGCGAATACCTCGTCAAACCAATGCTCGCCACCCTTACCAGCGCCCGCCTCGAACTCGCCCAAACCGCCAACACCAATCTCCAAAAACTCAACGAGAAACTCGAGCAGAACGTCTCTCGGATCCCGCCCCATCTCTCCGCAAAGGACACAAAACAAACCGAGCCCGCCGACTCCGAAGACGACGAGGACTCCATCACCTCCGACCCAACAGAGCTCTTCCACCGGGACGTCGCAACCCAGACCTCGCAGGAACTGGACGCAACCACCCTC